TCCACATAAAGAATATTGCTATCGTATTCTTCATTTGTTTACGAATGAGTAATTACGGGAGCGAGAGCTGGATGTGATTGAGAGAACAGCGAATATCATTTTAACTTGGAGTGCCTTTCCGCGACCACCTAGGCAATGTAATTTTCAGTCAGATCAGCGGAATGTAGGATATCATTGTGATCACGCGAGAAAGTAAAATTCGATGGGCACGGCATACTGTTTGCTTTGCTGACAGCTGGGAAAAAATCGCATATTATTGAGTGGTAAGCCACCACCAGGACGATTTCCAAATAGGTGGCGTACATACACCCAACAGGCGGTGGGTATTGATTGGAAGTATGCAGTCCTCGAGCAAAGCACCTGGTGGCAAAGCTGCACTCGGCGTGTGGGGGCTAAGAAAGCAGCTGCCTAACTCTCGCCATAAGCAGTACAAATGATCTGTGTTATGAATTTTCTAAATGAAATATGTTAAATAGCTCGATGGTTGCCAACCTTCATGCTCGAAGACAGCCTCGGAGGCTTCAGGAAAGCATGATCGCCGCCTCGGAAGTCGCTTTTTCCAGGAGTCCCCGACAAACGTGACTGAAAGAATTAAAATATGTAAAACTGCTCTTAATTCTTTGTTATTCTTTCTTTTATTCTCATAAAACTGCTCTTAATTTAAAAATATTAAACTCTTAGTCCTTTATGCGTTTTGTGCTATGTAACAGCAGTACACCCAGGCTGGAAAGCACCAGGCTTGCCGGTGCGATCGTGTATTTCTGCACTAAACTCGCAAATCACTACTAGCAGGAATGATCTCTACGCTGCAGCCTAACAATTGGGCTCATATTGGCCATGCTTTGGTCCCTTCCGGCACACAGGAGAAAGGGCATCGGTTAGAATGAAGGTGGTGCACTGTAGACCCGCATGGACCTCCAGGGTACATGATTAGCAGTTTCTTGCATAAAGCCCGGTCTTTTTTTCGGTAAATGCTCACCACCTGAAAAAATGAAAAATGCAAATTTTTGGAAAAAATGCAAAATTTCCAGTTGACTAAAAAGTGGAAATGCTGTTAGAGAAGTTGTTCGTCAAAATATCCAAAAATGCAAATGAACTGAATGCTCATTTACATATGTGGATGAGGACGGACGTTCGCTGCAAAACGCACTCGTTTATGATTTTTCGATAAAGTTGAGTATTTTTCACACCCACCTGCAGGGAATTTCACCTCCAAGCAGAATTAAGATCGCACTTAAAATATCCCAGCAAATTTTCAACCTCACAACTAGTCCAGTAAGCGAAATATCCACTTCGCTACAAATATCTTTGAAATGCTCTAAATCGCGGCGCAAGTGTAAATCGGTACTCATTTTAGGCACATGATTTCCAATGTGGGTGGCAAACATGCTGACAAAATTTCAGTCACAGTTTTCCAGCAAGTTCTCAAGTTAGCATGGTTATTTCTTTCAGAGGTCCGTACACAGGGTCGAGGCGCACGTAGGGTAAGATCTTAAAACGGGAGGATGAAGGGGTAGGAACATATACCCAAAATTCCAGCCTCCTAACTTTTCTGGTTGCTGAGATGAAAGTGGGTGACAAAATTCACTCGCTTCTGAACACACACACAGACCTCTCGACATTATGCGTTTTTCCTGGCATTTTGTCATCCACTTTCATTTCAGCAACCAGCAAAGCTAGGAGGCCGAAATTTTGGGTATATGTTCCTACTCCTTCTATCACTCTCCCCTCCCCTC